TAATTCCAGTACTCAGGAGACAGAGGCAGGGGATGACAAGTTCCAGGCTAGCCTAAGCTACACAGTGACACACCGTATCAATTAAAAAAAAAAAGCAAGCAAACAAACAACTCTCTCTCCAAAAGTCTACAAGGGCTAGGAGCCAGCTAGATGGCTTAGTGGGTAAGGGTACTTTCCACCAAGCCTGACAACTTGAGTTCAATCCTCTGGATCCTCGTGGTGGAAGGAGAGAAGAGGGACCACACGACGCTTATCACGTGACCTTCATGCATGTGCCATGATACTCATGTCCCCTGCTTGACACAAACACACATAAAATAGACACATAATATAGGAAAAGCCACGGCCAGGGATGTATTTCAGTGGTAGAGAGCAAGGGCCTGGGCTTGAGCCCCAGTACTTTAAAAATATTAACCAACTGAGCTGGGCAGTGGTGGTGCCTATCTTTAATCTCAGCATTTGGGAGGCAGAGGCAGGCGAACTCTGTGAGTTTGAGGCCAGCCTGGTGTACAGAGTGAGTTCCAGGACAGCCAGGGCTACACAGGGAAACTCAGTCTTGAAAAACCAAATACATATGTTAACCAATTGTACTTTACCTAGAATGCTTGCTTCAGCAGCACATGTACTAAAATCAAAATGAAACAGATCGATTTGTCTCCGTGCAAGAGTGACATACAAATCCATGAAGCATTTTGTACTTTCCTGGTGCTGGGGAAAGTTAGTAGCCATGTGAAGAACAATGAAAATAGATGTAGATCTCTGAACCTGAACAAAAATTAATTCAATTCAAAATGGACCAAAGACTTTTATGTGAGGTTTGCATCCACCAAACTGCTAGAAGGAGATGGTGGTGAGCACGTTGCGGTGTAGAGCCAGGAAAGGGCTCTTGAAAGACTCCAATAGTTTGGGAAATAATAGCAAGAATTATGCCTGCCAGCATTCGGTAGGCAAAGTCCTAAGAGGCAAGACAAGTTTGGAGCTGGCATGATCTACATACTGAGGTCCAGATCTGTCATGGCTACATGGTAAAATTATGTCTTAGAAAAAGTGTGTGTGTGTGGAGACTCCACGAAATTAGAAAGCTTCCAAACCAGGTGTGGTGGTTCATGTCCATTGGTCTTGCAGTTGGGAGGCTTGGGCAGGAGGGCTGGCCGAAGTGTGAGCCCAGGCTGGGCTACACAGTAAGTTTCAGACTTGGCTAGGCTACAACGAAGCCTAGTTCTAAGCACTCTCTTAGAACACTAAGCAAGCAAAACAAAAACCTTGAATTACAAAACCAAACCAAAACATCATCCACAACAAAAACCCTTCACAGTAAAGGAAACTAGTCAGTAAGTGGTTGCCTTCAGAAGGAGAGAAAGACTTTGGTAATTATGTGGCTGACATTAATACCTAAAATACACAAAGTACATTCATCTCTGAAACTAAAGTCCCTCCAATAATCTGTGTGCATCATAATTTAATTGATAATTGATAGTGAGTTGGGTGTCAAGTTGGTTTTTGTTTGTTTGTTTTTGTTTTGTCTTAGGGCAAAAAAAAACCCATAGCTTATAGTCAAAGACATCTGGTATTCCATAAACTGTGTCACAGAAATCCATGAAGTGTTGTGCCTCTGATAAATGGCCCCAAAGTGTGTCAACTATTCTATGTGTCACCCAGCCTCAAGAGATTTTCTTATACCTTTCATAGCACCCTGACTGCTTTTAATAAAAGTCATTATTCCGTTTTCATGACTGAAAATTCAAACCTTTTATTTTTATTTGTTGCCTTGGTGTGTGTGCACATGTGTGCACATGTGTGCATGTGTGTATGTGTGTATGCAAGCCTGAAGCTGACAGTGAGTGTATGCCTTATCTGCTGAGCCATCTCCTTGGCCCCCAAACTTACATTTTTAATGCATTCCAGCCTCTTGGGAAATTATTGGTATTTTGATTTCCATATATCCAATTACAGTGTTCAGCCAATGCTTCCTAATGTTACCCATCTTTATTTTCCATTACCATCTCTTTTCACTATCCCGTCCAACAAACGGCGAGTTATGAAAGAACCTTTGGTGCTTTGGAAAGGGCAAGTTTGGTTCCCCGTCTGGTAAGTCACTAATAAGCTGCCTGTCTAATGTGTCTCTCAGCTATTAGATGAGGGAGATATTTGCTTCACAGTTATAGAGGATCAAATGGAGCTGTACAGGTGGCGGTCCCTTACAATTACTGTGCTCTGGAAATCTGATGGCACAGCTAGGTCTCAGTTTCCCTCTGTATTTTTCCCAGTCTTGGATCACCCCCAGAGACAACAGACAGGAAGTTACACTTGATTACTTCCTGTTCATCCAGATGATGGTCAGGGTGATTTCTGTCCTTCACCTGCACACACAGCAACACAGCATGGAGAACAAAGTGAGTCACTATTATGTCCAACTGCATGCAGTTTCCAGTGAGAACGTGAACAGTTTTGCTTTAAATGTCGTGGCCCCCGCCGCCCCCTTTGCTGCTGTGTGGGCTGTGGCTTCCTCGAGAAGGCTAACCTTGATGCCTTCAAGGCTGCGAGATTCTTTGAGTGTTACCAGAGATAAGCTCCCCTTTGCTTGCTTTAATTATTGATCATTTATTTGTGGTTTTCTTCCTTTTGAAAAGTTTAAGCTTTGTGCTTTCCTGGGCGTTGCACACTAATCAAGCTACATTTGTCTTTTACTTGTCTTTAGCCTGAAAGTAGGGCAGGGAGTGGACATAGTCACCAGTAGATACTTAGCACCCACTTTGCGCCTGCCACGGGATTTCCTGCAGGCTTCTCACAGAGATTAGGTTAGTGTTCTGGGTAAGATGAGGATGCTGAGGTGACTGTCAGGGACAGCAGCACCCAAGCCAGACCCAAGTCCTTTCTACGTTCAAAGCCCACAGCTCCTGTGTGAACTCCAAGCGTGTGGGGTTGAGCACTGCTGATGGTAGAACCCACGGCCTCATGCATGGCCGACAAGTGCTCTGACCCCGCACGGCAGCTCCGGTCCATTTCTAGCCTCTTTCCTTTCGACTTTTGCTTTTGCCTGGGCCTAAGGGGAAAGGGAGTGAAGATGTGGTATTTGAGCAAGCATTTGACATTATGCTTTTTGCTTCTCTGTTTTATTTCTGTGTGTGTGTGTGTGTGTGTGTGTGTGTGTGTGTGTGTGTGTGTGTGTGTCCTCTGTGGCCAGAAGAGGGTGTCTGAGTGCTGAGAACCAGACCTGGGTCCTCTGAAGAGTGGCAAGCACTCTTACCCACCGCTCCGCCATCTCCCAGCTCCGCTTTTCACCTCCTCTTTCCTGTTACCGTTTCACTTCAGTTTTCCTTTGGAAAATGAATTAGTCAGTGAGTTGTTTGCTTTTTACACCTTCCTGGCACTATTCCAGGTTCTTATGACATTGCAGAAGCATCTGCCCAGAGGCACACCATGGAGAAGACAGACTCGAGAAGGCGTGAAGATAAATTACATGAATGTGTTGCTACAAAACTGCTAATAAAACCTGCCACGGGGGGGGGGGGGGGGGGGGGGGGGGGGGGGGGGGGGGGGGGGGGGGGGGAGAGCAGAGGGCGTGATCTGTTGGCAAGACTATTTAGCCCCAACTATCAAGAACTAAAAACACAAAGAAATGCATATTATTTCTTTAAACTGCAAAAGGAAGAGAGACCTGCCAGAAAGGAAAATTAAAAAAAAAAAAGTTTTCCAATGCTGAGAACTTATTTGTATAAACTCACAAAGAAAGATTTTCTTTTTTAATACTTTAGAGTATATTTTCTTTGGACAATCAAAGAAAACTGTTTTCTACACTGGTCGAAGTAATCTAAGATTAGGGTTTATCAGATACAGCCCTTACAATGTAGTTATTTTTTCCATTTCCTGACATGCCTAATTTTTATATTTGGCTGCTAAATTGCTTTATCACTTTTGTAGTAAAGTTTAAAATTTTTACTTTCAATGCTTTTCTCTCCAATGAGAAAGTCCACTTTGAGAAGACCGTGTATGAAGGAAGAAATTAGACTCTGAATTTAATTTGGTTTCTTAAGTTCTCAGATATAGAAAATGTTTCTTTCCAAAAACCATGCTAATTAAATGATTTAAGATCACAAAGGAAAAGTGGGACCTCTGGAATAAATTTTGATGAATAAAGAATAAAGTGTGTAAAATTTAATATATTCAGAGAAAAGAAAGAACACGCATATAAAAAGTCGGGGGCGAAGCCGGGCGTAGTGATGTATACCTTTAATTCCAGCACTTGAGAGGCAGAGGCAAGGGGATCTCTGTGAGTTCGAGGTCAGTCGGATCTACATAGTAATTTCCAGGACAGCCAGCACTAAGTTGGGGGCGTGATATAACTCAGTGGTAGGGCCTTGTGTTGGACAGGGTCTGAGTTCCACCCTCAGCACCGCAAGAACAAGCGAGCAAGCAAACAAATGAAAACCTCCAAAGTTAGACAAACACTTTAAGAGTGAAAATTATTTTTAAAAACGTTATTGGTGAGGATTCCCTTTGGGAAGTCAGCTTTCATAGAAAGCAGGACACAGTTTCTACTTCATCATTTCCTTCATATTCATTTATTTGTCCCTTAAGTGAAGCAAAGTAGCATTTTCCTGGGAGAGAAAACACCACTATAAATGCTGCAGAAAGATGCCCCTAGCTCCTGTGTGCCCGACAGAGCCTGCTAGAGTTAACGAAGCAGTGGTTTGGGAAAAGCCTCCGGAGGGTTTTCTAGAGCGAGCTGGGGCGCCCGGGTGCACCTGAGCGCCGTTTATCTGATGGCTTTCGGCTGCAAACACGCACTGGCTACCGCATCCCCCAAAGTTTGGTGCCTGGTAAAGTGGCCGACGGGGCGGGATGTGCGAGCACCTGCTTGGCGGCTCTCCGGGGCGGGCTGGCGGCCGGGAGGAGAGGCTCGTCCCACCTGGGCCGGAGCGCCACCCGCCCAGAGCCCGCCGGGCGAGCAGCCAGGGCGGCCGAGGGGCGGTGCGGAAGGGCGGAGGGCCGGGGGCGGGGGCTGCGGCTGTCGGAGGAGCGGAGCGCTGGCCGGAGGCTCGGGCTGGGTCGGGTCGCAGGTGCCGCAGCAGCTCTGGCCATGAAGACCCTGTGGATGGTGCTGTGCGCGCTGGCACGGTTGTGGCCCGGGGCCCTGGCTGGCTGCGCAGAGGCCGGGCGCTGCTGCCCTGGCCGGGACCCAGCCTGCTTCGCCCGCGGCTGGAGACTGGACAGGGTCTACGGAACGTGCTTCTGCGATCAAGCCTGCCTTCTCACCGGGGACTGCTGCTTCGACTACGCCAGGGCGTGTCCAGGTGGGTGGCAGGGCCCGGGGAGGGGCCGCCAGCCCTGCAACCCCAGCCAGCAGTCAGAGGGCAGGGCTCAGGACCGCTAGGAGCCGGGAGCCTTCTGGTTGCTTCTAGTCCAGTCCGGTCTCAGCCTCCCTAGTCCCAGGACCCCCCCAGCTCTATCCCTAGGTTTCCTAGTCCTCTTCATCTAACATCTCCGAAACACCCCTCTTGGACATTTGTGGGCCACCTCTAGGGATGGATTCTGTGACTCAAGAACTCCAGCTGCATAGAGTCACCTGGGGCCTGGAAGGAAGGGCGTTGACAGTTTTCAGGGGCGTGTCTCCGGGCCAGCCTTCCCTACACTTTCTCTGTCAACCCCATAGATTAAGCTTGGGGATGGAAATGGTGATGAGAACAGAAGGTGTGACTAGCCCACTTCGTGCCAAGCTTGCCCTTGGTGGGGAGGGGGGAGCTTAAAGTTCTCAGAGGTCTGAGGTTGTGTTTCTTGGTGGGCTCCAATATGGACCACAGCTGCTTCCCGTGAGATTTTCTGTGCTCTCCAGAGCTATCCTTAAGATTTTCCCGCCTCGGGTCTCTACCGTGTTTTCATCCACCAGCTTTCCTTTGCAGTGAGGCCTCTCCTTATTTAAATTTCCCATAGCATCTCCAATCTTTACCCCTTTGTAGGGTTCCGTCAACAGCAGTGGTGGTTTAAATTGAATTTAAAGGTAAAGGAAGAAGTGGGGAACGTAATCCTGAAAAACAAACTGTGCTGGAGAAATCAGCTCTGAAAACAAAAGCAGCTGTGATTGTCGCCAATCACGTCAGTCCAAAGCCGCACCCTGGAGCTCCGTCACTCAAGTCCTCAGCATCTTCTGGGGAGAGGACCTCAGGGTCCAGCAGGGACAAGACCTCTCTTTCCCCTTTGCTAGGAGTCTGTCAGCCTCCAGGCACGCCAGTCACCCCTGCCTGATGCTGGAAGAGCACAGCTGGAAACCTGAAAGATTTACTGACTGACTGAGAACTAATTGTTTACCTGTGACTAGGGATGCCCCTTTTCATAAGTTTTTCCCCTCTGTTCCAGGACATCTTGCCTTAGACTAAAGAAAGCTGGAAATACCAATTACTCAGGAACTGTAGTGACCCTGAGCCATGTGTCCCCACCCCTGACAGCACCCTAAACTGTATGTCTCAGCTACTTGAATAACTCAGCAACAGAATTTGGTTCTGGCCAAATCACTCTTCCGCAGCAGGATTACCTATGTATTAATTATGGAGTTCCTGTAGCCTAGGTTTGTGGTAAACGCAAAGATGGACGGCACTGAAGATGTATGCAGTCTCTACTCCCTAGGAAGTCACTGTGTACCCAGAAACACCCAAGAAACCACACGCGACAGTACAGCAAATTCCCTCTTACACGCTCCATGATGACAGGGATACCTAACACCCTGATTTGTTTTGCTTTTTCCTGTGTGCCCTGTTATACAGTACCAGGTTCATTTGTCCGTTCATGTTTTGTGCTCTAGCACTTCTTCGGTATTTTTACTTTTGCACTTCGTGGCTCTATTTAAGTGAAATAAAGGCCTATTATTAATTAATTGTGGTGATATTAATTACCACAGTGGATCTGATAACTGAGAAGGCTACTACATGGCTGATGGGCAGGTAGTGTGCACAGCATTAACGTGATGGACAAAGGGATGGGTCATGTTCTGAAACACAGCAGCAGAGCAGTGTGAGATTTTCTCATATTATTTGGAACTACATGCAAGGGAAACTTTATTGTTTCCAGAATTTTCCATTTAATACTTTCAAACAGTGGATAACTGAGATCCTGGACAGTGAAACTAGGTGGAAGGAGGGGACAGTTTCCAGGTAATCTGGAAGACAGTCTGGAAGAAACACTTCGAAGACCTGTAAGAAGCCTCATGGCATCTCTGCCCAGTTGCCTGTGGGGATCAGGATGCTTCTGCCAGGCCCTAAAGCTAACAGAGTGAACATGGCTGAGTGTGGACACAACCGGATATAGAGATCAGGCTCTCCAGAGGGATGGGGAGCAGAGGGGAGCACAGTGAGAGAAATTTCTTTCTTTACTTCTTTCCTTTGGTTTTTGAGGCAGGGTCTCTCTATGTAGTTCCTGCTATCCTAGAACTTCCTATGTAAAAGAGGCTGGCCTCGAACTCACCGAGATCTTACTGCCTCTGCCTCCCCAGTGCTGGGTTAAAGGTGTGTGCCTCCACACCTGGCAGTAATTGGTTTCTAAGAGGCCTGGCAGTGCTAGGCTGAATCACTTCCCAAACCCCACCTGCCCCGTCTTTATGTGGCCTCAAAGAAATGAAATACCCTTGTTTTAGTCAGGGATGTAGAAGTAGTAAAATCAATTATTTTGGACTGGGGATTTATTGGATAAATTCAGGAGATTAAGTGAGTTTACCATCTTGTGAGGAACTCTAAAACAAATCACAGAAATGGAGGCACTAACGCCAGCAAAGGGAAAGGTGTGTGGTAGAATTCCAAAGCCCATCCAAGAGTCCTAAATGTACTTCCCTAGGGGTCAACAGAGGACTTGCAGACTAAAGAGAAGCTGACTTGAGACCAGTAAGGCCGCTTGCTGGTACATGCTGTAGTCTGAAGTTTCCTGTGAAGAGAAGGAGGAAATAGAGGCCATTGGAAGCTGGCCACTTGGTGAGACTGAGCCTGCTGATGCATTACAGCTAAGGATGAGAGCCAAGGGCAGGGTGGAGCTGAGAGGCCCAGCCTCCTCAGCCCTGGGCAAGCCGACTTACAGTAGGTCAGGATTGTTGGGCCTGCCTCCACTGGCCAGAGCTAAATTTGCTGCTCGAAACTGCCTGTGAGAGCAACTCTTTGGCAGAATGCCTCTATTCTCAGGAATTTTCCCTCCAAGTATTTATTATTTACTTGTGATCTCCTCCCATCTGAAAGAGCCATAATGCCATGATTTTGTGCTTAGACTCAAAGAATCCTGGGTTTAACCTTTACCCTGCCATCTACTGGCCTTACGACTTTGGAGAGTGCATGCCAGTCTCTTGGAGCTCAAAGTATCTCATGTGTAAAAGAAAAATGGCAAGACTACGACAGGGGACTGGCAAGTGGTTACTAGAAGGTAATACCTAGGAAGCCCAGAATTTGGTATGTGGCAGCTCTCAGCCACACTGGGCACTGCTGGATATTTCAGTTAATTAAACATTTCCACACTAATTTCAGGAGTACCTAGCATAGTTATTTCTAATTGTTAATATTGAGTCACGTGTCTACCCAGACATGGTGGCAAACACTTAAATTTTCCAGCACGCAGGAGGCTGAAGCAGGAGGATCAGAAATCCAAGGCCTACCTAGTCCACAGAATAAATCTGAGACCAATGTGAGTAAATTAGTTCAAAATTACATTCCTGGGGTGTCATTTAATGGTAGAGCACTTGCCTAGTATGAGCAGGTCTCGAGTTTGATCACCAGCACCACAATTTATTTTTCTCTTTTTGCCAAAATCTACCCCAGACCCTGGGGAGAGAAGACATCCAAATAAAGTAAGTGTATGTGTTGAAGTTTATCTTACGTACATCTACGTAAGATCAGAGAAGTCCTAAAGGCTGAGACTCATCAGACTCAAGGATGTTGGAAAAAGTGTGGCTGCCCTGTGTTACCGTTTGACAAATGCCAAAGCTGAGGTATGCAAGGACTCCCATCACCCAAGTTCACCTGAATGAGGGTAGAGCTAAGGCTGGATCACAGACAGGGCTTTCTGACCTCAGGTTGCTACCAGCCATCTCTTTTTATGGAATTTCTAGTGACTACATACACATTCCTGAATACAGCAAATTCCAGTAGCCTAGAGTCCCAAGTTCCTCAGTACTCAGAACCATCTAACCTTTCACAATTTCTTCTTGCCCAAAGTTATGCTTCCTACCCTTGCTTTCTGAAGCCCTTCGGCCTGACAGTGTGTCCAAGGTGATGAAAAGTGTAACTGCGTCAGTATATGACTAAGCATCCTGATTCCTCCATCCTGGTATCACATTTGGGGGAGGTGTCAGAAAGAGATGGAATATTGGCATTTCTTTATCTAAGCTGAAAGGTATTCTTTTTCAAAGCTGAAAGGTTTCTTTTTCCTCTTATGTAAAAATTAAAACTATTTTAACCCTGGAGACCCTTAGATAAAAGAAACATCTTTACTGGGCAAGTAAAATAAAAAAAAATGTTATTGCACTTATAGAATTACTGAGTTGCCAAAGAAATCCATTCTGAGATGAATTATTTCAAAAGGTTGCATTTTGGTGATGGCGTGGGTTTAATACCAATAATATATCATAAGTCTCTTTGTTTCCTACAAAGAAAAAAATAAGTAAAAAACAAAACAGTTGCCGGGTGGTGATGACATATGCCTTTGATCCCAGCACTTGGGAGGCAGAGGCAGGCAGGTCTCCGAGTTTGAGGCCAGCCTGGTCTACAGAGCAAGTTCCAGGACAGACAGGGCTACACAGAAAAACCCCGCATCCACCCCAAAACAAAGCAAAACGAAACGAAAAACAAACAAACAAACAAACAAAAAACCACCAGCAAAACAAAACAATCTCCATTGGACATATCTAAACTAGCAGGAGAGCGGACAGACCCAGTTCCAACGCACTCTGCCTGGAATAACTTATTGGGAGTGCTGTTTGCCCAGTGCCACTCCCAAGTTGCTAACTCAGGTTCCTGTGGATTTCATGCTAAGACCACAGAAACAGGGGGCTGTATTGCATCCTTCACAGCAACCTAGGGAAAAGGTAGAGATATGCATAGCAATTAGGAACTCACACAGGACAGGGCAAAAGGTGAGTAGGCCCTGTGTCTTCTCCTGGATCTCCAGGAAGTCCAGGAAACAAACTGCCCGAAATCCAGTGGGAAAAGGGACACTGTGCATACAAACATGGGCTCCCACCCAATCAAGAAGGATGGCTCAGATCACGAAGACTGAGAAAGCCGAAGCTTTACAAGAGACAGCACAGTCTGAGAGGTAGCCTGGACTT